TTTTTTTTAGTGCTAATGGGCCATCTGAATTATATTCAAAGTAAAGTACTAGTGGGCCATTTTAAGGTACACGTATGAAATGCTTGGCCTTATTAATCTCTCAAGCCCATAAAGTTGATATCTGGATCCCGGACCTCCAAACCCAAATCAAATCGTGACTTATTCACTCCAAGACACGTTGTCCGTGAACAAGTCTCGAGGGGGTATTTGTAGACAATTAAATTTTGAGCCAATAAAATGGCGACAAGTGTCAAAATCTATGTAAAAATCAATTTAATAATTTTTTATTTTATTTAGGAAATTAATCAAATTTTAATTCCTAAATTAAATAGTTAATTAATTGATTATTAATATACATTGTTGGCCAATTAAAGAATGCCACATGTATATTTTAAAGGCCAATTAAAGAATGCCACATGTCATTTTCTTGGAGAGTAAAATAAATAATTATTTCTTTAATAATTATTAAAGAGATAAATAAGTGGATATTAATGGACCAATCAAATTGAAGTCTTCTTTTTCAAGACTCTCTCTCCTAATTATCTCTTTAAATAATTATTAAGAGATAAATAATGGAAATTATGGACCAATCAATTTAAAGTCTTCTTTTCCAAGACTCTCTCTCTCCAACACCTATAAATAGGGGCTCTCCCTAAGGTGAAAAAAAAACACAATTCATATTCAAGTTTCAAGTTCAAGAGCTCTAAAGAATTCTCTCAACGAAATTCAAGTATTTTTGAAGATTCAAAGGCGTTCTTGAAGATCCGAAGGAAGATTCAAGCGCGTTCAAGTCCAAAACCGACGTTCAATTCGGAAACAAGCTGCCAAGCCTCCGAATTGCGTTATTAAATTCAAGTGTTCTTGAAGATTCAAAGGTGTTCTTGAAGACCCAAAGGAAGATTCACGCGCATTCAAGCCCAAAACGACGATTAATCTAGAAACAAGCTCTGAATTACGTTATTAAAGTCAAGACCGGCATAGAGAAGATCAAAATCAACTTTGCGGCAAGACCAAGGACTCGTGTTCTTCACGTTCTTGAGAAATCACAACGTTCGATTCGAGATCAAGCTGTCAAGCCCTCGAAGAAACGTTATTTAAATCCATATTCAAGACCTGCGGAGATCAAACTGAAGATTCGTCTCCAAAAGTCTCAAATCCATTTGAAGATCGTTCTTGAAGAAATTAATTAGAGGAATAATAGAGATTTGAAATCCACTATATTTCATTTGATCCGTTAAAAATCCATTTGTACAAATTTCTCGTGTTTATTAATTCAATAATACAAAATTTTGCGTTACAACAGTACTTTAAACATTGATCGAAATTATACTGACTCTGATTGTCGAAACTACATTTGTTTATGATAGAACCCTGATAATGCAAATTTACTTCCCAACTTGCAAAAATTAAAACCACTCTTTAAAGACATCATCAAGGATGAAAATTTGAACATTGGACATCAAGAGAGGACTCGGAACGTCAAAATATGTATCATCCCAAACACAAGCGACTAAAAATACTTTTTTCCTCCTTACCAGTGCTAATTGGCATAGATATCTCTAATGTAGATCTTAAGTTCCTAAATACTTTAATAAGTATTTTTAATTTATAAATATTAATGAATATATATTGCATGTGAAGTACACGGAGTTCATATTAGTTAAAATATAATTTAGATAATCATTCGAAAAATTTTGAAAGTAGTCAAAAATCCCCAAAACTCCGAACTAAACTGCAAGGTGATTTCATTTTGAAAGGTGATTCATTATCTTGATAAAAAATAAATCCAAGATCTTGTTTTTTGGTTGTGTTAGTTTTGTCATGAGTTGTACCTTACCTTTAATATACTATAAAATTTCTATATATTTTAGAAAACAATTGTTGGTACGTCAATATTATATATATATATTTTTTTTTTGAAAAAAATATTTAGGGCATTATGTTTGTATTTGACCCAGGGCCTTATAATGTGCAGGACTAGCTCTGCCTAACCGAATAAATTTTTTGGTACGGTTCCATATATTGAATTTTAGTAATACCCGAATTTCAGTACGGTCTTTAACTTTGTCAATCTCCGAATCGTACCGTCCATGCTCAAAAACCTTTTTTAATTGCGCGTCACATGGATTTTATTTTTGTGAAGTCAATACAACAGTATTAGATCCTATACCAATTTTTGAAAGAACAATTAAGAAGAGAAAGCAGTAAAAGACAAGTATACTGTATTCGTTATATACACCTCTTTCCCTGCCTGCTGCTCCAACAAGTCAGCAACAAACACTATTCATATGTCTTGAAAGGATTCAAACAATCAGAATGCTATCTCGGACCCGAGACATCCTGTGATGACATGTAGGAGAGCGTATTATTATATGAGGTGGCAGCACTACCGCTGGCCGTCCGCCCATGCATCATCATCAACTCATTCCCACGTCCCCCCAAAGTTGACTCCTCCGTAAACCTCCGTCCATAAAACCTCAAGAAACTCAACGACTCTGCCCTGGGCTCCCCCAATGGCACCCCTCCTTCCAACATGCCCACAACATTCTTCATCGACGGCCTCATATTCGGCTCCTCATGCACGCAGCACAGCGCCACTCGCACCAATCTCTCAGCCTCCTCTGCCGCCACCTGCCCAGCTAGCCTCGGGTCCAAAACCTCCAGATACCTCCCATCCTCGTGCATTTCCAATGCAAACAGCGGGAAATATACCATTCTGTTGTTTCGAATGTCGTTGTGAGGGCACGAGTTTTTCTTCCCCCTCACAATCTCGAGCAGCAGCATCCCGTAGCTGTAAACGTCCGTACGATCCGAGATGGATGCGCTCGTCAGCCACTCTGGGGCAAGGTAGCCCCGCGTCCCCCTCATGGTTGTGAAGAGGGCTGATTGCTCTGGGCCCAGCAGCTTCGAGAGCCCAAAGTCGGAGATCTTCACGCCGTGGTCGTGGAGGAGGATGTTCTCGGGCTTGATGTCGCAGTGGATTATCTTGTGCTCGCAGCCCGAGTGGAGGTACGCGAGCCCCCTAGCGGTCCCAACCGCGATCTCGACCCTCTCCTTCCACTCGAGCGTGTTCACGTCATCACGGAACAGGGGCTGGTCCAACGACCCCCGATTCATGTACTCGTACACCAAGAATCTCTGCCCTCTGCTCGCGCAGAATCCTTTCAGTCTAACCAGATTGACGTGGTGGATTTTTCCAATGACGGCAATCTCGGTTAAGAATTCCCTCTTCCCTTGGGCGCCCAAGCAAGTGATCTTTTTTACTGCTACCTCTGTTCCTTCTTTGAGAATCCCTTTGTATACTGTGCCGAATCCACCCGACCCTATTTGGGTGGAAAACCCTCTGGTTGCCTCAACGATCTCTTGGTAGTCGAACCGGACTGGCAGGCCCGGGATGGACACAAGATCCATCTCCTCTTCATCGGCCAATGGATGGGACTCGCGTTTTGAATTTCGGAACTTTTCCCAGCTCAGTCTTTTTCTCTTGGAACAAATGAGGGCTGCAATCAGGGCAACTAACACAACACCGAATGACGGCAGCAAGACCGCCGGCAAAATCGAGGAACCCGATTTTCTGTGGTTTGTGGAATACCCATGTGTGATTCCAACAACTTCAGTCTTGACGTACCCCACACGATCGGTCGGGCTCGATTTTGTGAGCAGAGAACCGAAATAGTTTCGGATCAAGTAACACGAACGGGAGCCGGGGCTGTAGAACACGCCCCGGCAGGAGCAATTGCCCGAACAGAGACTCTGGCATGCCGAAAGATTCGTGTTGTGTGTCACGAAATCCGTAAAATAATTGGCAAAATAATCCAAATCACTCGTTAAATTCAAATACTTAATAGGCACACCACTGGACGATGATGATGAGAATGAGCCGTTGCAGGAACCTGATGGCAAAAGGGCCAGAGAAGCATCTGACGGCACACAATCTCCCGTATTTGTATTCGGGTCCGTGTGAAAGGCTGGAGCACACTGGCATGAACCTCCATTACCAGTACAAACACCGAGCCTCCCGCATATGAACGGGACCTGGCACCTATTGTTCGGGCCGGAAAACAGTTGAGTATTCGATTCGTCCCCACCGAAGCTCAGGATTCTCAACACGCCATCGGGATCTAGCCTCACGATCTGAAAATATGAAGAATTTCCGGATGTCGAGCTACCAATGATCACTTTGATCACGACCTCTACCCCATTTTCCCCCATCAAGAACAGCCCGGTAGAGTTCATCTCCAAGTGCCCGGCCGCGAAATCAGTGTCCCGGAAAGCGCTCCCATCCATCGACAGTTCCCAGTACCTCATCTCGTTCCACGTCAGCACGGCGTCGTTGTATTCGACAGCGAATCTGTAGTTTCCCTCCGATAGGTCCCCATCCCCTGCGGAGGACGTCAAATTTATTCCAACGGGCAGTTTTTGTCCGGGCACGAGCACGTCGGCCGGGAAATCGAAACTCTGCCACACGGTGTCGTTGGCGTGGTCAAGCAAGACTAAGTTACCCGATTCCAGAAGCTGCATCGAAGAAACAGACGAAGAAACATTAAGGGACGCCGACCAAACGGGACGGCCGGCATCGTCGAACAGAGCGAGGCCGTCTGATGTGAGACGGAGCTCGGAGGAGCTGGAAACGGGGTGGTTGCGGTTGGCGGACCAGACGATGGTGTTGGAGGGAACGTGGGAGACGAGGAAGTGGAAGGATTTGGATTCGGGCTTGGGGGTGGTTATTCGGGCCTGGAAGGTGCTGTTTGGTGAGGCCAGGAAGGCGCCGGAGGTGTTGACGAAGAGGAGGTAGGAGGCGGTGAAGTTAGGGGAGATGGGGAGGAACGAGACCGGGCCGGAGAGTGCGGGCGAGAGAAAGAGGAGTAATAAGAAGGCGACGGCGGCGGCGGCGGCGGCGGCGGAGGAGCCCATGCGGTGGCGGGTCCGGGGTTCAGTTTATCGAGGAATGGGTTTTTGGGTGGATTTGAATGCGAGATGACGTTGAGGATCATTATTGTTATTTGGTGGTGGTTGGTTTTATGACTTTATTATATGTAGAGTGCGTTGACTCAATAATTGTCCGTGTGTGTGTGTGTGTGTGTTTGGGTGCATCTGTATTAGGGCTGGGCAAAAAATTCGAACCGAACTGCTGAATCGTAGATCCGAATCGAAATCGAACCGAATTTTCGGTTAACCGGGGGACTCGGTTCGGTTACAAATACCTCAAATGAAGTATTTGCTCGGTTCGGTTCGGTTACGGTTTTTAAGATTTTTTTACCCCGGTTAACCGAACCGAACCGTATATTATATTAAAATTTATAAAATATATATTATATTATATATTATATATTATAAAATATATATTTTATTAAAATATATATTATATTATATTATATATTATATATTATATATTATATTTATATTAATGTTTCCGGTTCGGTTCGGTTCGGTTCGGTTTATTATTTGCGAACAAATAGATTTGTGTTAGGTTCGCTCGGTTCGGTTCGGTTCGGTTAATTCGCGGATAGTAGGATTTTTTTCAGTTAACCGAAAATTCGGTTAACCGAGATTTTCGGTTCGGTTTCGGTTAGCGAGTTCGAATATTTGCTCGGTTCGGTTCGGTTAGCAAATACCTCAAAAAGTTCGGTTAACCGAACCGTGCCCACCCCTAATCTGTATATACAATATAGATAGAGTGCTCTCCTGGGGACGGGGGAAGTTGAGGGCAAATAATTAGGTGCGCTCGGCCCAACTTGCTAGGTGTGTCAGGGTCTTTTGGGTAATGAATTTCATATATCATACTACCTCCGTTTTTAAATAAATGTCGTTTTGACTTTTTTGATTCATTCATTTTGTTATGTATGTAGACATATTAATGTCTAGATACATAGCAAAATGTTTAGCATATAAATGATGGGCATGTGGTAACCGAGCTACCCGACTCGGGTCGATCTCGAAGGAAGGCTATTCGGAACTTTGTCTACTAGATGATCGTCCAAAATCACAAAAAGGGAAAATAAAGTCCTAAACATTCTAAGCAATCGATTTGGAAGTTGATTAACACTAACGAGCACTTAACAACGAGCAATTAATTAAAAGCAAGATCAAAAGACGAGCAATTAGCTAACTACATCACCGGAGTCTCATGCCATAATCATAACGGGATGATAATCAATCGACATACGGAATAAACGAGCTACGAGCATTAGATTGCTAATCCTAGTCGTCTAACCGAGATCAACAAGCAATTAACGGCTCTATCTACTCAAGCAACGCAATCAAGCATAAGTATTTCCTCCATCATTAATCAAATCCAAATTTACCCTAATAAGCATTATAAGTAAAAACGGAGCAAAAACCGAAGTAAAGAGCTTTAAAACTAAATACTCATTCTTCCATTGCGTAGACGATGAAAAACGGAGTCAAAAGCTCGAAACTTGAACGAAACCAAAGTCGCCGGAAAATCTCCCGGAAAATGACATAAGCTCCTAATCTAGAGAGAAAAATAAAATAAAAGCTGATTTCCCAAAATGGAAAAAATGAAAAATAAAAGTTGGATCCCCAAAATGCAAAGGACAAAATGTATTTATACTACTACCCACACACACACTAAAACACGCAGATTTAATGGAACACTCTCGACGTAGCCGTAAAATTCGCGAGCTCGCAGGCATGGGTTGGCACACTCTCGATGGCGCGGGGAGAAGGGCGAGCTCGCGGGCGTGTTGGTGCGGGGCTCTCGATGGCGCGGGGAATAGGGCGAGCTCGCGGACTGGCCTGGACGTGCAGCAGCGGCTCTCGACCACGCGGAAGTCTCCGCGAGCACGCGAGCTAGTAGGCGTTGGCACTC